AGCGCAATGTAGCGCACAATGACGTGAAATGGCGCAAAATAGCTTAAGAAAGCGTGCCATTTCAACATTTCGCGTAAGCTTTTTGGGAAAAACGCTAAATATATAAGGCTATGTCGCGTTTTTCCGAAAAAAGCAATATAGAGAGCAATAACGAGCTATTTAAAACAATGGTTCGGTTCTCCTTTTCTTTTTTTTTTTGGTCCCGACGGTCCGGGATTGGGCTGTCCGGTTCCACAGGCCGACCCCTGGGTTTTGGTGGACCCGTTAAGGGTCACCATAGAGAGGCCCGCCTGCTTGGTGGGCCGAGTCGGGCGGGCCAGGCACGAACCCGATACCTGGCCATGTCTAACACGAAATTGACTTGGTGACAGAAGCTCTTGTAACATACAGTTGGTGATTTGACAATCAATTAATTAAATGATATTTATAATTCAAATGTCCAAATTAAAGAACAAATAATATAATATGTTTCCTTCTCTTTAATATATACTTGTACATATTATCCTTAATATGTAAGAAAATAGCACCTTAATGTGCAAGCAAAAAACAAACTATCAAATAAATTCGTCTGCAACTCCTCAAGTGATGCCAAATTTCTAATATATTTAAAGTTATTTGAGTCGAGTAGCTCGTGTTCGAATTCGTGCTCATGTAATAAACGAGTAAACAAGTTGTTCACGAACATGAAATGTCTATTGGCGATTAAGTTTGGCTCGACTGTTTACATACAATCCATAAAAATAAAAATTAAAGATAAGTTTGTTCACAAACAAACTTAACCCATATAACAAACGAGATCGATTAATTGTCTGAGCTCGGTTCTTTTAGGTGAAATAATAAGTCGAGTTCGAGCTTTTACGAGCTGAATTGAGTTGTACTTGTGAACATATCAGCTCGATCGACGACTATAATATCATCCACCATTTTTGAACTATTTTCAATAGTTGTGCAAGTTAAAAACTTCTAGATTGTATTAAATAATGGTTTTTTTTTTTTAGAATAGTAAAAGACCATGTCAACATAGGTATCGATTAAGAACAAATTTATATATTTGTTTATTTTGGAGCAAATTGACTATGGTTTCAATGTTAGCCTTAGCCAAGAAGAGGTACCATTCCTTGTTGTTTCTAAGTTGCGTATTATTGTTAAATAACTACTAGAAGAAAGAAAGTCTTGTTTGGGTCCCACGTGCAATTTCATCATAATTGATGGGTAGGAGGAGAAATTCATGAATTTGTTGAGGCCACTAGGAGATTATTATTGGTGTTCCTTTTTTTTTTTGTTTTTTTTTTTTCACAAACGATAGAAATTCTCATAAATCAAACAAAGATCAAAGATCCAATAGTTTAGGTACAAACCCAATAGCCGACGGCATAGCCAGGGAGCACTACTAACAAGAGTAGGCTAAATCAAATGAAACAACACCAAAGGCAGGAATTAAACTGAGACCTCCAGTGCAGAACATAAATCAAGCTAACAATAGAAGACAAAGAAAGAAAGCCAAGATATGAACAATAAACCGACCACTGAACTATATTAATAGACCTAGAAGGTGAACTGCCATGTCTCAGTTTCCTAAAGAGCAGTAACTGGATTATTGCCATTCCCCAAGAGCACCTTTGATGATGCTCAAGTCTGGCCTCCAAAAGCCTTCAAAGACCCATAGATTCCTTGATTTCCAAAGCCACCAAAGAATATAGGTTGTTAGCTCAATTCTATCCTTGGCAACTTTGGAGAGGTCTAAAGAGCATATAGTACCCCACCAATCTTCAAACCTGCAGTTTTCAGTCTGAATACCATCCCAACAAACCGGGGCATGTTTCCAAACACCTCTGGCTCTAGGACAAGTAAGGAAAAGATGTTCAATTGATTCAACTTCTTCACCACAGCAGGGACACAAGGGATCTACTTCAACTCCTCTTCTCTTCAGGTTGAGATTGACAGGTAAAGCCCCAGTATAACACTTCCACAAGAAGTGCTTGACCTTGCCTTTCACAGAGATGCTCCAACTCCTATGTCTGATCTGCTGGTTTCTCAAAGCTATCCCACTGCCCTGAGCTAAGTCCATAGACAACAGTTTCCTGTGATGGAGGTAAGCATAGGAAGATGAAACAGAGAATTTACCTTGGGAGCCCATAGACCAGCACCATTTATCTTCAGAGTATGCTTCTGAGAGAGGAATTTTCAAGATTTCTAAGCAATCCCCTTCTTCTACTTTCTCTCTGATCAACTGCTCTTTCCACATAAAGTTTTCATCTATTAGATCCTTAACCCAAGTGTTACCAGCAGAAGCTTCCCCAATAAGTTTGAGACTTCTGTTCCTGATCCCAGGAACCCAATTGTAGTCATGCAATTTTAGAGAAGAACCATTTCCCACCACTACATTGAGCCCCTCTAAAAGAAGCCCTCTCACTTTGAACTAGGATCTCCACAACCATGATGAGCTGGCCTTCAGTTGAGCTTCAAAAATGGAGGTATGAGGGAAGTACTTGCTCTTGATTATTCTGCTCATGAGTAGCTGGGGCATTGTGATCACTCTCCATAGCTGTTTTACCAGCAAAGCATCATTGAATAGCTGGATATCTTTAAACCCCAAACCTCCATGTTTCTTGGAAATGGTGAGCAGCTCCCATCTCTTCCAGTGGATACCTGAGGTTTGAACATTGCCTTTGCTCCACCAAAACTTTGCAAAAGTACCAGACACTTCTTTACAAATGTTGAGAGGCAATCTGAAGCAGGACATAACAAAGAGAGGAAGTGCATTCAAAACTGACTTAATGAGAACTTCTTTACCAGCTGATGATAAAAATTTAGATTTCCAGCTCAGAATTCTACTCTCCACTGCTTCAGAGACAAATCTGAAAACTTCCCTCTTTGATTGACCAATTCCCAGAGGTAAGCCCAAGTATCTTGTAGATTTTTGAATTTGAATACCAGGAAAAAGTTGGCACACTGCAGTCTGGGTCTGAACACTGGAGTTTTTGCTGAAGAAAATGGTGGACTTGGATGTATTGATTTTTTGACCAGTAAACTCTTCATATCTGGACAAAATGGAATTGACCACCCTTGCTTGGTACTCACTTGCATTGCAGAAAAGCAGAGAATCGTCTGCAAAAAGCATGAGTTATGGTAGGAGCTCCCCTTGCAGTAGACAGGCCACTGAAAGTTCCTCTTTCTTGTTCAGCTGAGATTGTAGCAGATAGCAATTGGGAGACAATGATGAAAAGGTAAGGGGACAGAGGGTCTTAACCTCATAGGGTCTTGACATAGTTGTGTTATAGGCTTTGCCTCCTTTATTGTACCAAAAAAAAAAAAAAAATGTTTGTGGGAATTCATTTTCCCCAAAAGATTAGAAGATGCATGAGATTATGCGTTTTCGAGTCATTTCAATGTTCCCAATTGAATCGATAGTCACTAAACTTTGGGAAAGTAAATGAAGCAACATAATCGTTAGGCAACAAAATGGGTTCATTGAGAGAACACGAAAGAAATAGCAAGACGAGTTGTCTCGCTTTTGCGACCTCAAGAAAGTCAAATCTCGAGCCCAAACTCATTCGTGAAAGGCTCCAACAAACCATGAGATCCAAAATGTTGCACGGTATCTTCGTCTAGGAACCATTTTTCCTTCTCCATTTTGTGTTGTTCATTAGGTTTTATGTCAAACCGATTTAACTATTAGGCCGACATATTGTTTTGCAGTATAAATATACATTTTTATTAAAAGAATACACACTTGCGCACACAAAAATTTTCTTTAAAGTTTTACTAAATATGGTAGAAATAAGGTAATAACAATCGCGATATAACAAAACGTGTACTAAACCTCTCAAACAATGGTCCCATAGATATATAGAAATCACATCAACAGAAAATTATTAAGAAAAAGTCAAGAAAGACAACGGTGCTAAGGGGGTTCACAGCCACCATTCTCTATTTCATGATTTTTTTCCGTAACTAATTTAGTTTTATTTTCTAATAAATAAAATACAGCCAAAATCATAATTGTCAGCTTGAAGTGTGTGAGTGTGCACGGGATCTAGGTTGTAAATAAATCGAGCCGAGCTCAACTCATTACTAAACGAGCAAGTAATGGATCCCGAACTCCACTTGTTTATCAATATTACATAGTCAAATTCAAACTGAACTCAAGCCTTAACGAATCGAACTATATAAAATTATATTAAAATTCTTATTTTCGAGTTTCAACGTGCCGAGCCAGCTCATTAACTAAACGACCTTTCAATTAGCTCGAGCTCTGCTCGTTTGAGCCAAACTCAAACCTTAACAAGTCGAGTCAAGCTCACGAGTGACACATTTCGTATAACAGCTCTACTAGGATCTTAGACTATCCTTATCCCCAACTCAACCCAACTCAACCTAATAATTAAAAATTATTTCTCTCTCCTCTACATAAACAACTCAATCTTCCAACCTAATTTATCTTTTTATCTCTAACCCAATTCAACCTAAATATTTATTTTATTTTAATTTATTTAAAAATTACAATTGTGTTTTAAAATATATCAAGTGTGGTTTGTATTTATAGAGAATGAAAAATATGATTTTTGATATTTTTTTATTTTTTTAAAAACCAAAAAAATACACTTGTCCAATAAAAATAGGACAAGTACCCAAAATTGTCTCTCCAACCGGTTGTGACCCAAGGTTACATTGTGAACTGGGGTCACGCTTTTTTCTTCATTTTTCCTTTTTTTTTTCTTTTGTCTTTTGTTGGTGACCCTTAGGTTGTGTCACCGTTAAATATAGTCTTATGGTTCACATCCAGTAGGGTCCAATCCACGTAATTTTAGATTATGGCTAGATTAAAACAAAATTATATTTCTTGAGGTAAAAGCAAACCTACCCAAAAAAGAGAAAAAAAAAAAAAAAAAAACACTTGATCCCATTTAACATTTTACAAAAATATATACATTGAGAGACAGTGACATCACTTGAGAAATTCAAGGTTTTTCTTCCTAATTTGATATGGCACAGACAAACTAATGCTCGTTTTTGACACGCGCCTTCAATATTCCGGGGAGAGGAGGCGAGGTGGGGGCCCTACCTGATAAGTTTGTCCTCTGAGGATGAGATATTTGTGGAGATTGTGTGTACATATTGGCCATGCTCGAGCTTTCTCCTCCATCATTACGCATATTCTGTTCTGTGCTATCTGCTGGTGTTTTCTTGCCAAAATTCATGGCCTTGAGAACATAATTATCATCATGTAGCTCGAATGGAGTGCTGAAATTCGACAAAAATAAAGTGATTCTGTTAAGAGAATAGCAATTTCAATTTGTGAAGCATAAGCCAAAGCTCAAAAGCACAAAAACGTCCATATTATTATGTTATGTCCATGGGGAGAAATAATAATTCCAAAAACAAAAGGCAAATTCATGCATCAAATCGTGATATGAGTTTGGCACTAAAAGTTCCGAAAAATTCAATTTACCAGTTTTAAGCTGTATATTATGATATGAGTGTTCTAATTTCATATTTTACTTCCCTTATTCTATTCTAGAGTTTTTTAAGTTCTTAAGGTTCTTTGGAGTTTTTAGGTTTTTAGTTTTTCAAGGTTCATTTTCAATTTATGGGTTCTTTTTTTATTTTTAGTCATTTTATATTTTTTGGAGGTTTCTATGTTTCTGTGTTTCCTAACATTATATTTTATGATGGCTATGTGCCTCATCATGCAAACTGCATTTATCCCTAATGTACTGCACAACTGAAAAACAGCGCATTCTAGAAGTATTGAATTACCTATTGAAATCAAAATGCACAAGCTGCATGTCTTCTGATATTTCCACCTCCACAGTTGCATGAGGGCGAGTCTGCAGTTAATGAACATGAATTATCGGAATAGATCTTAATAGAGAGAAAGATCAAAGAAACAAAGAAGTCAAACAATCGGGATAATGATAGCAAAATTTTCGTATGGTCAAGCTTCTGTCATGAAATCAGCACGAAAACAGAACAAAAGTTTTCATAGAACTTCAACATTTATATTATCCCATTTTTTGCTACAAAAAAATATTGGTTCATAAATTACATGATACGTATTCTCTTCCTGTGTGTGATTTGAAATACCAACCAAAAGAAGAGCCGAATTCAAAATATAAAAGTTCCATTTGATATTCACCAAACACTAATTTCTGGATAATTTTGGAACTCTCTAAAATACCAATAAATTCTACCTGAACCAAAATAAACGGCAAGGCCACTCCACCACTTGGGGCATTTCCTGAACCATACAGTTGCTCATTACGTTGTATGAGGTTCTGAAGACCAATGTACTGCAGAAAATAAATAAATAAACAAAATAAAGTGGTTAAATTCAGAATGTCCACTTTAATTCTATACAGATAGTGCTATAGTAGACATATTATGTGCATAAGGGACCGATTTCCAGCTAAACCCAGATAAACACGAGGAAAATAATTCAAATTTCGTACTTGTTCTTCCAGCTCCGCAAGATATGCAGCTTTCTTTTCAATTCTACTTCTCAGTCCAAGACGTTCGGTCTGCAATAAATTATATGTGAACTTAAATTGGTTTAGTTGACACTGGGAACAGCTTGTCAAAATTTCTGTGGCAAATAAAAATAAAAATAGCTAAAGGAACAAATAAGTCTAACCTTAAGTTCTTCAAGGTCACTCAAGCTCGTCCTAGGCAAACCCTTCCACTGAATTTCTTTTTTATCTTTAGAAATTATATCCATTGCCATTAGCACATTGAGAGCATCATATACCCTTCGACGTATATTCTTCTCGTCATATTGTTGCTGGGCAAATAATGA